AAGAAAGAAAGAAAGAAAGAAAGAAAGAAAGAAAGAAAGAAAGAAAGAAAGAAAAGGAAGGAAGAAGTGAAGGAAGAAAACTGTTTGAATTAACAAAGGCTGAACTCTGAGCAGAAACACAAGACAGCAGTTGTGGGATGGGCAGATCCATTTCTGTTGGCTCAGATAAGCTTACAGCCTTGAGCTGCAAACCTGCACAACAAACACTGTGGACTGGCAGAGGGAGTCTGGAAAGTGAATATGCCACAATAAGAAGCCTTAGCATCAGATTCCTCCCAGACCAATTTTCCCCCTTAGATTTCCACTCAAGCTGAACAGACACCAGTGGGGCATTTCAAACTTGAAGTATTTGTTTAAAGGCCAGCACAGGCGTTGACTGTTGGAGAGACACAATACAGAAAGGAAGCATTAGCAAGAATTTAAAAAACTGGTTCCATTTCAAGCTAGAAAGGAGGGGAAGTGTCTCAAATGGTAGCACTAACAACTTTTTCAGATAAAGGCGATGGAGATACTGGAATTATGGAGAACTTTTCACCCAGCTGAACATGCTCAGGCTTTGGAAATGGTCAGAAATGTGCATTAAGCACCCACTCTGTAATTCTGCCAAAAACTCGAGGCAGGGATCAGACTTTTTCTGTAAAGGGCCGGACAGCAAATATTTTAGGCTTTGCAGGCTATCCTGAAGTCTCTGAAGCAACTACTCAAATCCCAGCTGTAGTTTTGCACTACAGCCATAGACAATACACAAATGGATGGATGTGGCGCTGAAACTTCACTTTCAGACGTTAACATTTGAGCTTTATAGAAGTATCCTGTGTCACAGAATATTCTTCTTTTGATTTCTTTCCATTATTAAACAATACAAAAAAAAAAAAAACCACTCCTTAGCTTTGTTGGCGGTACAAAAGCAGGTGCCGGACTGGATCTGGTCCATGTGCTGGCTGGTAGTTTCCTGACCTTCGGTCTAAAAGCAGAGTTTCTGTTTCACGTTTACATTCTAACCACTGAGATAAGAGCAGAGAATCCAGGGGCATTTTAAATGGAGAAGATTTCTGCTCCTGTGGGAGTCCAGGTAGTGAAAGAATGTTTGGTGGCCACGATTCAGCTGGGATTGGAGCAGGACTGTGGGGACAGAAGGTACAGGAGCACAGGAAGACTTCCCAGAGGGGCTGGTACCCAGGGTGTCTCTCCTCGGAGTTGGCCTGTAGCATCAAGGGAGAGAGGGGTGAGAACATGCCTCCCTATCCAATTATGCATGCTCTATTTTTCCCAGTGAATCAGGCCAGTGAAAAGATTAGCAGCAGCAAAGTCAAATTTAATTCATAGAACTTTTTCTTTTCTTTTTTGCATAAAGATGAGGCCCTACTTTGTACACAAACAGAAACTAACAGTTCTCAGGTCTACATGGGTAGGCTGTCTTTGTTTACCTGTGTGCACAGGCTCTTATGCAAATTCCAGCAGCTGGTAAAAAAGTAAGCCTGGGCTTGGCCTTGGTGGATTTATTTCTCATTTGCTGCAGGCACAGACCACTTCTATTGAAGAGAGAAAAATACCAGCTCCTCCACAGCCGCTTGTCCAGGAGTCCGGGCCTGCCTGGCAACTAGCCTCTTTGCTCCCTCTCCAGCGTGGGCCTGACATTACCTTGCCATTGAATAGTCTGGTGGAAGAGTTCAGTGCAGGGTTTGCACTTTCCCAGCCATTAGCCAGCTGCCAAGGCATTTCATTATCTTAGAAGTGTTTTGTACATCAAAGAGAGCCCCAAACAGTGTGATCAAGTGGAAGTAACAGCGCCTGGTCAACATTATAACCCGCAGCATTTTTTTTTTTCATGGATATAATGCCATCTGGCACCCAGGAACAGCGAAGGCCGGTGATGGAAAAACCCTGCCGCCCTGTTTTGCTCACGGGTGTAACAGTTAATCCTGATAAAGGCCAAGGCCTCAGAGCAACTGCCCTGTTGTTATCTTGCATATCTATTGTCTTACACAGGCCAAGCTGCCCTGAACCTGCAAGAGGGAAGGTTCCACATGAGATTGCCTGAGGGGAAAAATATCCAGGAGAGTTGTCTTTTTGTTTGTTTCAATTATTTAGCAAACACACACACACACACACACACACACACACACACACACACACACGGAAGGGACAAGGATTTAAAAGGCTTCTCCTTTTCAAGCTTTAAGACTTTCTGGGGAAACAGCAAGTAGCTGGCTTTGCAATCCCTGAATGAGGGAGGCTCTCATATCAGCTTAATATCTTCTGTATCGATTTGCTTTTGATAATTTTAGAAAAAAATATCTCAGGCCTTCGATTTTCGATTATAGACCACCAACTTTCCCCCCTGATTTCTGATAACAAACGTCTCACTGAGTCTTTCATTGCTCTCTTGCAATTAAGGAGAAAAAAACTTTTCTGAAATGGCAGCTAATAGAAAGGCTCTGAAAAAAAACTCATCTGTAGTGCACTCAGAACCCTGCTTTCTGGGTAGCTGATCTTCAATTGGCAAATTAGGAAAGAAAATACCATGAGTGTCTTATTGTTTTTATTTTGACATCAATCTTTGAAACACAGAAGACCAAAACAGAAAATGGACAATCTCCTTCTCGGCTGAAATGAGGGCAAATGATGGGTTTATGTTCTCTTTTATTTTTCCCCCACAGTCTCAAATGTGGTTGCCTCAATGCACTGCAACTGTTTATAAACTCTTGGATGATTTTTCCACTCATTACACAAACTCCTCCCCCTTCCTAGCTTCCACAAACATCCCCCCATAGCCCCTCCATCTCTGCAGGAGGAAAAGCCTAAAATTTTGAGAAGGACACATTTTGAAATTTCCTTCTCTGGGTTAAGTTCACATCAAGGGATGATTTTGCAATTGCCACACAAGCCATTATGCAAGCTTTTCAAAAGCATGGAAAATTTCTGGGGCAATCGTCACCTATACACAATTGTAAGAATGATTTTAAAAACAAGTCGATATTCCCCAATAACCAACCTGTGGTTTGAAAAATCCTACTTGATCAATCTTCTCCCACTGTTTTTCTCTTCACTGTCATAAATTCTAGTAGAATTATAGCACTCACAAGGGGCTAGCTTGTTATTTTAGGCTGTCATGAAAACCGAGCTCCGAGAAATGAAGCCCCCAGCTGCCAGCAGGAAGAACAAAGTTCTCTCCAAGTACAGTGGGGTGGTGAACACCCAGTACAATATACAGATGATGTATTATAGAATTGACACCTGGAACCTATATAATTTTATTAGCCAATGTTACCCCAATAAATTCAATAAAAAATTCAAGCCAAAAAAAAGTCTCTGACTTTCAGTATTCTCAATACAATGACTGTTTTCCTCACTTCTTTTCTTCCTCTAAGAATTAGTGGGGAAAAAACAAAACAAGCCAGAAAGGAAAGGAATTGAAATATTTGGCAAAGTGAGGGGGGGGGGAGGGTACACAACAGTCAGATTTCCCAAACATGGTGGTCAGATATCAAAATTTGAACTACTTATTCATTATATATGTTTCACACTTCGCATTTTATAAAATGCTGTAAATCACTTGCTATAGAAATAAAAGTTTTTTGGAAGAAATTTTCAAGATCATCTTTTGTTGGTGAAGAAACATGAAATCAACTGTTCAAACAAACTTTGTTAATGACAGAGCTTCAGTAGGATTCAGGACCACTAACTATTACTTTTGTCACAACACGCACACATGTATTCACTCATACATTCAACAGCATTGGTTGACTGCCTACCATAGACCAGACATTGTGGCAAATACTGACATGCCTTTCACAAGAGTAAACAAGAATAGATCCCTATGCTGGAGGAACACACATAGTGGAGAAAGCCATACAAACTAAGAATCGTAACGGAGTGACAGATGCTGACATAGAGGGGCCAGCACAATGGTGGCAAAAAGAAAACAATTGGTCAGAATAACAGAAAAGGTCTCATTATTCTGACTTTACCCTGATGTTAAAATAGTGATCTGCTATTGTGTTTAAAAAGTCAAATTTAAGCCTTTGTCCGTAAATTATCCTAGAAAGAGAATCAATTACTTGTGGCATGTCCTAAATTTCGCCGTAGGTAAAACGTAATCTGTCTTGTGCTTCCCCTGATTATTCTGGATTTGTCGGTGCATAATTTGAAAGCACAGGGGCTCTGTGGTTTCCCATTCAGATTGCTGGAAAGTGACGTTCACGGCAGGATTTGGCTGACATGCTAAGTAGCTGAAGTTTGGAAAGCAGTAGGCAAAAGGAGACTAGTTCAGATGAGAAAATTACACATAATTTCTTTCCTCTCATTTTGTGAAAATTTTAAACCCACAGTTGCTGGGGATTAAAAAGAACTTCAAGCAAATACTTACTCCAGCAAGGGTTCTTAAACATTTCTGAATCTATGCCCGGGATTTAAATTTCTAAATTGACTATTCCATCACAATTTCCCTGTGGAATTAAGTCTAATTTTAAGTGGATGTCCATTGACATTTTCCTGGTAGTACTTTGAGAGTCCCAAATGTTCATTCTATTTTTCCCACAAAGAGGTAAATGTTCCTAAATGGAAAGTGAGTGACTATCTTGTGTTGGTACTTGATTTTGGGCAAAGGTGGTGAGTGGAAAGGGGAATGATATAATATTGTAGTGCTTTGAGTCTGGCTTGACAGGCAGATACAGAAGACAAAACTCACCCTGTTTGAAACCCAGTATATCTTCTAGAATCTAATTCGGCACCTACCAGTCTCAACCTAGTCAAAATCACCAAGTTAGAATACTGTTCTTATTGATAGAATTGTCTTTTTTTTTTCACTCTAAGTCATTTTTACAAAGATAAATAAAATTCAGCTAGGAATAATAATTTTCTAAAGACCTTCCCTGTTTCTCTCTGTCTCTATCTATCCTATCTCATAAAACTACAGAAAAGATGGGCATTCAAGGGAAATAAAAGGTTGATGAGGCCTGGTGTACACATTGTAAACCAAAATTAATTTTAGACTGTAATAAAGAATAATAAACATTTATTTGAGCAAATGCAGCCCAGGAGACGCAGGTTGAGTTAGCAACCTAAGTTATGTTCTGCCTACACAAAGGGAAGGGCACTTTTTGTAGCTAGAAAGTTCCTGACATAGTTCCTAATTAGGTCCATTTCATGTAAAGAAATATCCAAATTCATACACTTCTGAACTGCACAGTCCTGGTTGGTCAGCATTATGCATCCTGATTGGTTGTTATGGAGCATTTCTGATTGCATGGGGCAGGTCTTGGTCCACTGGTGGGAAGAAGATACCAGGAACCCCCTTATAACAGTTGGCTCAGGCAGTGTAAAGGAGTATAGCATTGCTTAGGAAGCCAAGAGTTCAGTCTGAAGTTCTTCCTGGGATAAACAGAACGTGAGGAGCCCCTGTCAGCTGCTAGACTCTCGGTGTCTGTAAAATGTGGCTGCTCCATTGCTTTCACCTAGTTTGAGACCATGGGGAGTCCATTGCAGCAGATACATTTCTTCTCTGGGTTCACATCAAATGAATCTTTCTTCTTAGGGTCCACAACATAAAGAAAATAACATAACCTACCATTACCATTGGTATCATGTTTTTACTTGTTTAGAAAAATATTTTCTGAGATAATAGTAATAGTATATGCCTCAAAGAGGTGTTGTGAGAATTAAATATGCTAATGGGCTAAAAGAGTCATAATAGTTTCTGGCACATAAAACACTGTCAATAAATGTTAGATGGTATTATTATTACTTGTGCTATTATTTTTATCATTGATATCATAATCATAGCTTGCACAACCATATACGGTTCAGCAAGTACAAGTTGACATTTAGTTGGTCATAATATAACTTAGTTTAAGAAAGAATAATTCTGTTTCTAAACCCTAAATTCTCAATACTTGACTACTTAGGAAACACTCATATTCAAACTCAAAAGTCCAATAAACTATACGTTAACTATGATGTTATTTGAAGGTTTGCTGTAAAAGATTTGCCTTTAAAATAATTCTGAAAAATTCTAAATTCCATGGAAAAGCAGTCACAACCCAATTCTGGCCTATTTCTCCAGCCTTTACAAATGCTGATTCCCGTTCTAGCCATCTGATGTACCCAACACAAAGGGCAATTAGCCATTCCCCAAGCGTGCCTTGGACTTTCACGCCGTTCTGCCTCTGTGTGCATGCTGTTCTTTATGCCTAGGCTATCCTCTCCTTCCAAATCCATTGTAAAGCCTTCCAGTTCTTACCTGGCCAGAAAATGCAGTAATCCCCTCCTATCCTCAGTTTTGCTGTCCACAGTTTCAGTTACCCACAGTCAACGGCAGTCCAAAAATATTAAATGAAAAATCCCAGAAGTAAACAATTAATAACTTTTAAATTGTGCCCCGTTCTGTGTTAACGTGATAAAAATTTCACGCCATCCAACCCGGGATGTGAATCATCCCTTTGTCCTTTGTCTGGAGCTTCTCCATGCTGTATATGCTCTCCACCCCCCACCCCCCACCCCACCACATCCACCATTAGTCATTTAGTAGCCTTCTTGGTTATCAGATTAACTGTCACAGTATCCCAGTGCTTTTATCCAAGTAACTCTTATTTTAGTTAATGGCCCCAAAGTGCAAGAGTAGTGGTGCTAGCAATTTGGATATGCCAAAGAGAAGACATCAAGTGCTTCCTTTAAGTAAAAGGTAAGTATGTATAGAAAAAAATACATATATATATATATATATATATATATATATATAGAGAGAGAGAGAGAGAGAGAGAGAGAGAGTGTTTGGGACTATCCTCAGTTTCAGGCATCTAATGGGGGTCTTGGAACTTATCCCCTGAGGATAAGAGGGTGAGGAGACTATGTATCCCTCATTTCTGCTTGCAAAGCACATTTTTCATCCTACTGCTAAGGTACATTCTTCCTCCTATTAGCCAAATCTCACTGCATGGAAATTCTTTACTTATGGAAATTCTTTGTTTGCAGGTCTGTGAGTTCTTTCAAGGTTACAGCCTATGTCTTACTGGACACTATCCCCAGTGCCAAGCAGAAAGCCTACACATAGGATGGACTTCTGCATTGTTTGCCAGATTTCAGCAAATCTATTTCAAGCAGGATAGATGAGATCCATGAGATATTACTAAGCTCCTGGTTCAGAGTTGAGGACAGAGTAAGGCCAGAGATAAAGGCTACTCACTTGGTGTCCTTGGACCTACAGAATAAGCATTTAATTCAGATAACAAAACAATTTCCCATGTAAAAGTCATAACTGTAACAATAAAAATAACAGCCATTTGTTGAGCTCTTACTGTGCTCCAGTCTCTATTCTCAGATTTTATGACTATTAACTCATGTAATTCTCAGAAGAAGCCCAGGCAATTTCTGCAGTGCCCAGTTCCCTAATCACCTATTTGAGGCTGGTTAAGGAAAGTTTAATACTTATAGTATGACGTTTTATTGAGTTGTACACTTGAAACATGTATGGTTTTGTGAACCAATGTCATCCCAACTAAAAACAAATAAATAAATAAATGGAAAGAAAGAACTCAAAAAAGAAAAAAGAACACATCTACACTAATAAAAGAGAAACATGGTAATTAGCGTACGACCGCTACCCTTTTCATTGGCTAATCAGTGAGTATATGCAAATTAACTGTCAGCCAAGATGGCGGCCGGCAGCCAGGCAGCTGGAAGCGAACATGAGGCTTGCTTGCTGCAGTGAAGGAGGACTCCAACGTTCCCCGCCTGCGCTGCCGGCCTCTGAGCTGCAACTCTAAGAAACTTTGTAACAAATATAGAAGCTAAACAAAACCCAGGGATCTCAGAGCTGGAGTTATACATTGTTTCGATTATAGAACGCAAACAAACCAGCGGAAGCCTCAGAGCTAGAGCCAGAGCTAAAGCTGGCCCAGAATAAAATTTAAAAAAGAGAAAAAAAAAGGAGCGGTTGGGAGCTTCAGTCAACAACCACCAGCCTGAAAGCAGCCCTCAGCCCCTCACCCAGACTGGCCAGGCACCCCAGTGGGGACCCCCACCCTGATCCAGGACACCCTTCAGGGCAAACCAGCCGGCCCCCAGGCCTCTATCCTATATAGTAAAAGGGTAATATGCCTCCCAGCACCGGGATCAGCGGAGCCTCGAGGCCTCCTGGCACCGGATCAGCATGACAGGGGCAGCGCCCAAACCCCCTAATTGGCCCTGCTCTGTGACAGGGTGCGGCGCCCCAACACCCCCCCCCCCCACAGGCCCTGCTCTGTGTGTGACAGGGTAGAGCCATAACCTCCCCATTGGCCCTGCCCTGAGTGTGACAGTGGCGGCACCCCAACCCCCTGATCTACCCTGCTCTGTGGGTGATAGAGGGCGGCGCCCCAACCCCCTGATCCACCCTGCTCTCTGTGTGACAGGGGGCGGTGCCCTAACTCCCCTATCGGCCCTACTCTGTGAGTGACAGGGGGGAGCTCCTCAACCCCCTGATTGGCCCTGCTCTGTGCATGACAGGGGGGAGCTTCCCAACCCCCTGATGGGCCCTGCTCTGTGCATGACAGGGGGGAGCTCCCCACCCCCCTGATGGGCCCTGCTCTGTGCGTGACAGGGTACGGAGCCCCCGCAACCTCCCCATCGACCCTGCCTTGAGTGTGACAGGGGGCGGTGCCCCCAACCCCCCAATCGGCCCTACCCTGAGCGTGACTGAGGGTGGCATCGCAACCTCCCAATCCGCCCTGCTCTGTGCATGACAGGGGGCGGCGCCCCAACTCCCCAATCAGCCCTGCTCTGAGCCCGACCAGGGGCTGCACCTAGGGATTGGGCCTGCCCTCTGCCACCTAGGAGCAGGCCTAAGCCAGCAAGTCGTTATCTCCCTAGGGGTCCCAGACTGCGAGAGGGCACAGGCCGGGCTGAGGGACCCTCCCCTCCCCCCCGAGTGCACAAATTTTTGTGCACCGGGCCTCTAGTAGTAGATAATAAAATAGACTTATTCCAATAATCTAAAAGTTGTTAGTGGAGTTGATAATGACAAGTTTTAAATTCTTATTTTTCACAACCATTAAGTACAGATATACCAACTTTCATTGATTATAGTCATAACTAAATCTATGACATATATTGTCCACTGTAAATAAATTACAGGTTTTCCCTAAACATGCCCCATCTTTCCAAACCTATCTTATCTCCCACTAGTTTTACAAATCTCCCATGATCCACATTTACCAGCCCATTTGCTCCCCCTAGGCCCGCTGCCCTCAGTAGTGAGGCAGGCTGGGCCACCTGCACGGCATAGCACGTCTCCACCTCCCTCAGGCTGTTCTACAAACTGTCCTTCAGATTTCTCATCGAGTCCAGGCCGATCTCCAAGGACAGGACCCTATGTCTCAGCTCCGTGAGTGTCATCTCAGCAGCTCCTCTCAGTGGTCTGTGAGGGGACCACTATGGTGCTCTCCTCCATCTACTGGGACCACTACTTGTCTAGCTCCTCTCGGTCCTTCCAAGCCAGCGCATCATACTGGGCCCAGATGTCTGCCATGATCTTGCTGATGTCCTGAGATTTGGGGGCATCCATCTCGGTCAACCCAGAGTTGGCAGTCTAATTTATAGACCATTTACGTCCTCCTCGTGGTTCTTCATGAAGAGCAGCTGCTCCTTGAGAGCCTCGATCTCTGTCTCCAGCTGTAGCTGAGTGACATTGGTGTTATCAGTGACCTTTTGGAGCCTATTGGTGTCACTCTCCACAGACTGGTGCATGGCCAGCTCCGTCTCATACTTGACTCTGAAGTCATCAGCAGCAAGATGGGCATTGTCAATCTGCAGAATAATGCAGGTATTGTCCACAGAACTTGCAAATATCTGAGCCCTCGGGTCCTCGATGGTCTTCAAATAATGCCCCCAGTCTCTGACCAGGTTCCTTCTTCAGGTGTTCTTGGATTTCACTCTCCAGTCTCTCATTATCAGCCTCCAGTCTTCTCGCCCTCTCCAGGTAGGAGGCCAGGTGGTCATTCAGGTATTTCATAGTATCCTTCTCGCTCTAGATCAGTGTTGGCGAACCTATGACACGCGAACTCATTTTTTTGGTTGATTTTTCTTTGTTAAATGGCATTTAAATATATAAAATAAATATCAAAAATATGTCTTTGTTTTACTATGGTTGCAAATATCAAAAAATTTCTATATGTGACACGGCACCAGAGTTAAGTTAGGGTTTTTCAAAATGCTGACACAGGTTCGCCATCACTGCTAGATGCTCCCTATTACACCCGCTAGACCCCTGGCCATCCCCCTAGCCAGGCCCCGGACCCCCAGCCACCCCCACACTGGTGGAGTGGGGCACAGAGATCGGGGAGCCGAAGCCCCTGGCACCTGCATAGACACTGGTTGAGTTGCTGCTGGCCAGCCGGCCCCGTGGCTGGGTTATACTGCACAGAGCCCAGGGTCTAGTAGTTTGTGGAGAAGCTGGAGGGGGTGCTGAAGCTCATGTTCTTCAGGGAGGAAGGTGAGAAGCCTAGACTCAGGTTAAAGCAGCAGTGAGTGCCAGGTACATGACTCAAGTTACTAGTATATGTCTTTTCTTTGGTTTGTTTAATTATTTTGTATAATTCCACTTCCTCCTGCTATTAACTTGGTAGCTATACATTCTCTTATTATTATTTCTTAACAATATGTAAAGATGACTTCTTGCAGTCTAAGACAAATAAGTATAACCTCTTCTCAGACAATACAAAAACCTTAGAACCCTTTAACTGCTTTTATCCTCTTATTTATTTCATTTTATTTTTCCATCAATGTATTCTCTTAACTCATTTGTAATATGTTAGCCCCACAAGATAATATTATTATAGTTTTATATCAAAATTGAATAATTCTTTTATTTGATATTCTTAACTATGTCCTGTATCTTTGAATTTCCATGTAGAATAATTTTCTTTTCCCATGGTCATACAGCTGGAAAGTATTTTCTCCTGTACCGGTATGTGGGTGCAAAACTTTCCTGCATTTACTGGAGAATACCTTTTTTCAAGCTCAGTTTTGAAAAATCATTTTTCAGTTTATAGAAACTTTTTGCAGGTGTTTTCCCAGCATTACTATATCATTTCATTGTCTTCAGGCTTTCTTTTTTTTTTTTTTTTTTCCTGTAGGGAAGTCAGCTATGTTTCATTGTTGTTGCTTTGATGGTCTAAGTTTTCTTTTTTTCTCTAGCTGGTTACATAATGCTTTCTCTGTCATTGTGTCTTTATAATATTTATTTCTTTATAATATTTATATTCCTTAGTGTGGTTTTCTTTGTATTTATCCAGCTTGGGTTCACAGATTTTTTTAAAGAAAAAATCATTCATTGTTACTTCAAATATCGTTTCTCACTTATT